TTCTTTAATGTATTTCTCTAGAAAATAATTACAAATAATGAACTAATATTTAATTTTAAGGTGATTTGGTTGCTTCTATCCTAAGAGATGGCTTTGAGATAAAAGAATATCTTTATATCGTAGACAATTAATGACGAATCAAATATTTTGATATTACGCTATATTCATAATACCTTGTTTCTAAAGAAATCTTTAAGTAAATATTCGAAACTCAACTTTTTTGATGTATCGAAAGGTAATTGCAGTACTTACAACTACTCTGAACTTACTGTATTATTAAATACATTGAGAAAAGATGAAATAGTAAAAAACAAACTATATTGTTTATTTATGATGTTTTGTGTATGATTAGATTTTTTTTTAATGATGAAAAAAGAAATATTTGTAGATATACAATAGAGATTTATTTATTTCTCTTAAGTTTTTAAAGAATTCAAATAAATCTCAAAATATATCATTTTTTTGTTTCTTTAAATCGTTCAAAAAATTTCCTATTTTTTTTCTAAACTTCATACTTGTTAACTGATTGAGATGATTTTTAAGATTATTCTAATATTAATAGATATAATTATCTTGGCTATTGTTATAATAGTTTGATCATCCTATACAAATAATGAGTATCCAATTCTATATCGATTTCTTTTTGTTTTTCTGCAAAAGAAACCACAAAATAACTAGATATCAATTTGAAATCTGTTAGGATAAATATTAAAAAGATTAAATGATGACTTTTCATATCATTCTTGATAGAATGTTCGAGAACTATAGCATGATTTCATGCTTGTTCACATACACCAGTGATTGAATAATTCTCGAAAATTTTTCATTTGTTAAACTAAACTATAATGATGTGCTCTTCTAACTATGATTTATTTTCTGATAGTCTTTTTCTCCAGATTTCAAGATCATCAACAGATATATGGTACAAATAGGATTTCAGACAGTAGCAAATTCTGTAGTACTTCCACATTTATACTTATTTTTCTGAATAAGAATTATCCGTATTATGTATACATTGATTGTTTCTGTAACTATCCATGAATGAAATAAATGAAGTTCATTTACGCATTTTCTTTCATTACATTTGAAATAAGAACTGGATAACATATTTCACTAAACTCAGTTATAAACTCTATGAATATTACAATCTTAAATAGTTAGAATACTGATTTTTGTGTACTCAAAAAGTGAGTACACTCTAGAATCAGTCAGTATGTCCATCCGTTTACACGATAACACAGTTTAGTCTCATCAATGTCTCGGTCGAGAGAAGAAGATGAGAGGGATCCGTCAACAAATGGCTGAGTTATCGAAAATATTGTCATTATTGACCAGACCATCCCTGAGGAGAAGTACAGGAATTTTTTTTCAAAATTCTTCACAAAATATATAAATCGACTCAGTTTTTACCGGTGATTCCAAATCTGATATTAGTTTTGAACCAAATCGTAGTTTTCTAACAAAACATCGCCTGAAAAAGTGCATTGAGAAAGCAAATAGTCTAGATATATCTCAGATGATAAAAATACCTGTTCACTTTTTGAAATACACATAACACTTGGATTTAAATCCGAAGTTTTCATATTTTTTATTTCTATGATAGATTTCCATCATAATCAGTAGTATCAAATTGAAAATCTTGTTCAATATTATCTTCTAGCAATGATTGAATTATCATCAAATCAATGTTGAATTTTAAAAATTCATCAGTTGTTTGACAAGACACATGACGCAATTTAATTAAAATAAGTGCTCTATCAATCAAATATGTATTAGTGAAACCAGGGGTGTCGCGAGCAACCAAAGATTGGGAGGGGGATATCTTAAAAAATTCTGCTTAAAAAAATTTTTGAGGCTCATTAACGAGTGTTGCCAAAAGTTTCAGATTTTGAAAGTTTTTCTGGACTTTTTTGCGATTTTCCAAAATTTTTTCGAGTTTAGCTTCTGAAAACAGTGCGGGAACTTACGAAATGGTGTTTAAGATACTATACATTCCATTTTGTGAAATCTACTTCAAGGAAAATTTTCGAATATTGGGGGTCACCGCCCCCCCCCCCCGCTGTCGAGACACCCCTAATAACACTAAAAAGAAAATTTTATTTTTATATTAGAAATAAACATTACATGATAAAATTATTTTTATTCACATGAGTTTTTTTTTATTGTTTCATTGAGATAAATATTTTTGTGAAAAAAAGAAAATATATCGGATCTTATGTTTAAAATAATCAAAATTATTTTCATCATATATTTTTGTTCAAAGTTCATTCATATTCGTTCGATTATGATTAGTTATATATTTATGCTAGTTTTAAGAGAAAAATGTAAATGATACATATTAATAATAGAGGAAAAAAACCAAAATACAGTATTCTTTCAAAAATCAACACAGATCTCGACTTAACTTAAATCTTCTCAAAATTTTCCTAATGCTTTTTTTTTGTCCATGAGCACTGAAATAGGCTCGAACAAAAGTGATTTTAATGATAATAATAAATGAAATTAGCTTCAATTATATGTGATAGAGCTTTAAATTAACATTAGATATGAATATCAAAAAATAGATTTTGTTTGCAAATGATTCATTCAATTGAGAGGAAAGAAAATAGTTTTGAAACAAAGTATTTTTAACTTTCTTCCTTCATGGTAACAACTGGAAACTCATAGTGAGTACAAAGAAAAACAAGATATTCTCGGGGTCACCACAGTCCATCTTCAGTGAACGACATGTAATATTTGATTTTTTTTTAAATAAAAACTTATGAATTTCCTGTATTTTAAAGATTAGAGCTAAGAGACCGATTACATGATTCAATGAAAATGTTTGACTTCGTCTGAACTTTAGCATCGAAATTTTTCTCAATAGTTTTGAACAATTAATTCAGGTTATGATGATTTTCAATGATAAACTAATAAAAAGTCTTCAATTTAAAATATGAATAGGAATATTCTACACAATATTAAAGAATCTTTACAAATGTAAATAAACAATGATAAACGAAGCAACAAGTTAGCAATATAGTAAAACTTCTTACTTTCAACATGTTTTTAATTTAACTTTTAAGCATATATCGATTTTGTTCAGGAAATATTCTTCCTTATGAACTATATATGTACATGTTCATTTTTCTTTACTCTTTCTCTTATATGTATCTATTCTTTAGTTCTTCTTGCTCAATTGAAACTGTTTGCTCGTTTCAATTTTCTCACGGTCAATAAACATCGATATTGACCTTGTCTATTTTTCTTCTTTTGCGTATTAATCTTTTATTGCATAGCTTATAATACGTGATAGTGTTATCATTATGTATATACGTAATTCACTTCTTCTATTCAGCAGACAATGATCATTTCTGACATTCTCTTCTTCTTAATTCTTTCATGCTTCCATTCTTTTCTTCTTCTACTTCATTATTGAACTCACGTTCAACAAAAACACAAAACTTACAGATTCTATTTGATTTTTTTCGTCTATGAATACAAAAAATATCGAGATGTTACAATAAATACTGCTACTCTTGTCTAATATTGTTTTTTTAAAGTACCTATGACTAGCTAAAAGTCTGTTCTTATGCGTCGCATGATTATTTATTACGACACATACTACATTTGTTTTCTACAATCTACACATGATTGATATAATAGAACATATGTTACTAACATTGCAATTATTGTTATTGTTCAAAGAACTGGATATAGTTGAGTATTCATCATTCAGAACAAAAACGATGGTGAAATAGGAAAGTTTAACTACACATCAAAAATATAATCTTTAATATGACCAAATATTCTTTGAAAAAGATAATAGCTATGATAAAGCAACGGAAGTATCTATCATGATTAGTTTTCTATTATTTCATAAGTATATATTTCTTGATTTAAGCCTTAGTTAAATCATAATCATTGAAATTTCCATTTTTTGCATAAATAGTGTATGTAAGATAAATGCATATATTCTTTATATATATTTATATAAGACGGCTGGATTTACATAAAATAAATGAGAGAAAAAAACTATGAAAAGTTTAAGTATGAACATGTTTATTTTTGAATTGTTCAGCATTAGAATGATGTTGAGAAGCTTTAGTAGCTGCTTTATTTGCTTCGAATTCTGCATCCATTCGTTCACTTGGTTTAATATTTGGATCATTCATTTTTTTTAGTTCAGAATCAGCTTTTTTTTGTTCAGTAGCTTCTTTCATTTTTTCAACGCCAGCTTTGACAGCATCCATTTTCTAAATCAATATATACGTATGGAATTATAATAAAATTTTCTCTCATCATATTATCATTTACTTACAATAGTTTCGTTGACTGTTTTGTATAGTTGATGAGAAGAGTAGAATGATTATGGTAACAATTGTTGTTCGTGCTTCGTCTATTTATATGTGCGTTTCAACTATCGAATTGTTTGAGTAAAAAAATATAGCACGGAAGAACCGCGGAAAAAGAATGGCATGATCACGTTTTTACGACAGCTGAAAATAGAAATGATTATTGAGTACTTCTATTCTCTTGTAACAATACTCTTTCTCATCTATCTTTGCTTGAGAAAGAAAAAGAAAAGAGGAAAGAACATTTTTTTGTTCCTCTCAGTAATTGTAAGAGAGTTTCACCATATATTCTACTAGAAGAACATTCAATCAACTAAAAAAACTCAATGTCAAACAAATAAATGGTTTATGGTTTATTGTTGACAATCATAATTTTACTCAAAAATCTCTAGCACTACTTTTACTGTAAATTATTGTTTGCTATAGAAAAAATTCCACCTAATATTATAGTTCGATGAATAAAACTAGTTCTTTTTTTCATAGTCTATAGAATTCTTTGAATGTATCCAAGGTCTTTATCAAAGATAGTGACTCATTAATAATATATAAGGGACCGTTTATATCTAGATCTATTCAAATAGTCAAATAAATATGAAATTCAAAGATTACTATAAGTGCTATTGTGTAGATCCCTATCAGTATCTATTTAGTTTACAATTACAAACGATTTCATTAAAATCACTAGTGTTTTTAATTAAGTTCTTATTACTTATTTCCACCTTCATTATCTCTATTAATATCCTATTCAATTATTTTCATTCTATCAGAATCTCGACGGGTTCGAACACCTTTATTTAATAGTTCTTTGTACAGTACAACAATAGATCAATTATACAAAATGAAAATGAGTTTCAATATACTTGTTATAAATAGATGTTGAAATGAATAACAAAAAGCTAAATAAAAGCATTGATTATATTATTCAACTGTAAAATATGTTTCTAATTTTATTAGAAAACAATCCATTAAATGATTATAAATTCTAGAATACATCAATCTGACATCTGATAAAAAATGAAACAATATCAATCAATACATATTCATTATTTCTAGAAAATAATATAATATATAATAATATGTATCAATAAAATAGAAACACTCTAATACGACAAAATTTATTATGAATATATAAAAGATAATATGTGTGTAGTTATCGAGGTATTTGAATTTACACTAATTCATTTTTCGACATTGTTCAACAATTAATCAAATTATATGTCTTCAATATGTTCATTTGAATTAAGAGTAGTATCGAAAGTTGTTTTTATTATTATTATTAGTAGTAGTAGTTTCATTCTCTTTTTCGATATTAACTTGAAATAATTTCATTTCTTTTTTGAACTAATAAAAGAAATGAATATTTGTCTTTTTTTAATTATTTTATACTTACTCATAATTTTAGAGAATTTTTTATCTAATGATATACAGAGTGGGGCAAAAATTTTGCGATATTTTTTATTTTAAACATATCTTGACTTGAGAGAATGATAAAATCTTTTTTTATTTTTTTAAAGATGTTATATATAAACAAATCCTTATTTAAAAACAAAAAGGATTCTTATTACGCTTAATACAATGAGAAGTAGCACTAATATTCAGAGCCTTTTCATTTTGAGTACGAGAAAAATCATCAGAATAAGTAAATAGAGATTCGTTTATACAATTTTTGTAAAGCTTTTCATGACACATCTTTTAAAAGAAAAATTAAGATTTTATCATTTTCTTAAGCCGAAATATATTAGAAACAAAAAAATGTCTTTTAAATATTTTTATTATGGGGCGACATGGCACTATCATGCTGCGTCTTCATTTTGAGTATGGAAAGAAGAATCAGAACAAATCAATAGACATTTTGTTATACATATTTAATAGAGCTTTTTACGACGCATCTTTTAAAAAATAAACCAAGATTTTATCATTCTCTTAAGTCAAGTTAAATGCGAAATTAAAAATGTTGCAAAACGACCCGGTATTCTTGGTAAGAATGAAAGAAAAACGAAAATTTTAAAAAAATGAAGAAAGATAAGAAAATCAAATCAAATGTCTTGTTTCAAATATTTCAAAGTTTCATGAGATAAGAAACATATGTTTTACCAAATAATTATTCTTTCAATAAACTAAAATAAAAAATGATTTTCGAATAGAAGACACAACGAACAGTTCTAATCAGTTTTAACTCTGAGCTTGTTTTTACTGAAAGACTCAATGAATTGTATTCAAATAAAAAATCTTTTAATTACTCGACACGATCAATGAGCTATACCAACCGTTGATTCTTGAATATTTTTATAAATTTCAATGAGAATTAATCATTTTTCTTAGATCACCACAAGCTGAACAAAGTTCACCAAAGTTTAATGTTAGTCAATTTTAATAGTATATTGGTTATCATTCATTATATGTTTAGACCGATTTTTATATATAGGATATAAATGATTTTTGTCTTTAAAATGGGAATCAAAGTTCGAAGAAAATGTCGTCTCGAATGCAAAAACTAATAATTCGATAGGAGACATACAGTAGGATGCAAAAACAAAATTGCCGTTAGTATTTGATAAAATTATTCCACAGAGCACAATGAATATCTTAAGTTGTTTTTATATATAAATCGCACATACAATAGAATACCCAAATATAATAATCCATAACTAGCCTGCTTTCTTCCCAACCCAAAAAAAGAAGTAAACAATATGCTTTCATTAATGGGCTCAAATAACTTAGGATCGTTTTGCCTATATGTCTGGATTGTGTCCTAGCCTAAAATGTGTGCTTTAAAGAAAAGTGAAAAAAGTTATGAATCTCATTTTGTAGCCGAAGTTTAAGCTCGATAGGATGTCTAAGGCACGAAACAAATTCAATACCACCTTCTCAACTTGTGACTTCTATTCGACCTTGATGATGAATCTTGAGAATTATTCACTTGAAACGAAATTTCTCCTACTAGCTGTAGTCTCTCTACTCGGAATTTCAAGTCCATTGGTCAAGCCATTATCGAGAAACTATAAAAATTGGGTGGGATCGCCATTTGTGCTGAAAGTTCGACAGACCATAATATTCCATTTTGTTTCTAAGATGCCTTGTGGCTGAAGCTCATTTGCATTTTGTTAGATTCTATGGACAGAGACCTTCCCTAAGAAGATGATTTTCGTAGCTCAATGATTGCTGTAGTCTCGTTAGTGTAAGATGACTGTTCGATATGGCAGAAAAGCGAAGGATACTCGAATCACAATGTCTCTCAGTCTATGGCACCATACTTTTGGAGGTGTCTCGCTCTCATCACAATCTATAGCATCTCCTTAACTGCCAATCGAAGTTTCAGAAGAATCTATTCATGTATTTCACAGATATGATTTGAGAAAATGCGTATATACAGCGGCAATTTTTTTTTGCACTCCACTGTATAAGATCGCATAAAAATCAGCTCAAATCTCCAAAACTTTTTATGACTAGTAGAAGATCAAAAACAAAATAGCATCATCTTCTCTTACTCCCTTCTTCCAAACAGTTAATAAAAAATTGTTAGAAAGTGCAGGCAAAGATATCTGATACTATGATTATTTTGAAAAAGTTATCTGCTTTCTTTCGTAAATTTCTAGTCAAGAAAGTGTTTCATAATAAATATTTCGAGACAATCGACAATTCTGATTCACCAAAAATAACCATCGTCTCAACAGAATAAGTAAGGTTCCCTTTATCGGTAGAATAACTGAAGAATATTGTTAAGGTTTGATACAATAAGAGTTTATAGCGGAGACAACCACAAAAGAGAGTCGAATAAATTCTTGACATGCGACAGAAAATAACATTTCGTATATTTGTTTCAACTAATGAAATGTTTCGAACTGTGGCAATATTGTATAGAAATGGTTTGAAACGATAGAATCTTGAAGTACAGTTAGAGAATCAAGATTTTGTTAAAGAGAAATAAAGCGTTGTTTTTTTTAAAACTTGAATCTAACCTACATCATAACATTCCTAGCAAGAAAATACGCAATATGTATTAGATAACTTTTATTTCTAAAATAACAGATCTATACTCAATATCAATTCACTTATAATATATGTTGTTAAAAGATTTAAACGCTTTTCGGTATAATCGATTGTTCGTCAATATGAAGCATAATTAAGAGTTGTCTTGATTATTGAAGACAATAAACCTTGAAACATAAGATAAAATAGTGTTATTCTTCTCGTTATTTCCTTAAAAAAATGATAAGCATAGAATTTGTTCAACATTAATTTCAAATGTACATTCCATTAACAATTTAAAATATTAGAATTGGTTTGAAAGGTGCCATCGAATTTTTAAAAATCTGAATATCGAAAAGTTTCTAAGGTTGGTTCAATTAAATATTCTAAGTAGACTGAATACAAATACAGCACGAGCCCAAAACACATATTTATATCGTAAGCTTGAAAATCTACGCCAATATAAAAAGTAATTTCTATTTCATCTTCAAATCGATTTAAAAAAAACTTAATGATGATCATCAGTTGCATAATATAATTTTAATTGTGGTCATTCAACCCTATAAAAAAAATTTTCTCCTTAGATAATTGATGTTGTGTATCCTAATATAAACTTAAGTGTAATCATGTTAGAGTTCTTCAAATCATTGAGCTATATTGTATTGGTTGCTTGTTCTATCAAACGAAAGAATTAAATACTTAACGGCAATACAATAACGAAATGGTGTGAGAATAAACAATTCAAATATGTTTATTTCACCATAAAATCTAGCACTTTTCTTTTAAATGATGTTTATATGCTCCTGTCTATGACAAGATCTGAGTATATTTATAATTATTTAAATTACTATTCATTATTTTTTTAAGGTATGTAATTATCAGCTATAAATAGTAGTTGTGTTTTGCATAATATAGATGAAATAGCACGT